TGAGTTAAAAATAGTTATTTTTACTTTATAAAGAGTTAAACATTGCAACAAATAAAGATTGAATGGAATAGAAGAACAAGAGGACTGATCCGCGCCATCCGCGGGAAGTTATGGTGTATATTCTGAATTCTTGGGAGTTGATCCGCATTCTAGGCACAAGCCCGTGCACGTTCCGCGCGTTCACGTGCTTGGTTCAGCATGCGGAATGATCCGCAGCAATCCGCACTGATCCGCATTCTAGTAACGCCCGCCAGGAGAGGTTAATGCGAGCGAAGAGATAAAACGGCGCGCGAAGCGCGCCAATTTTTGGCCACGTCCATTTATTCCTTCGCCAAAAAGGGCGTTTTCCTTGATTTTACGCTGACTTTTGTGAAATTTTGTCATGAGAAGTTTCAAGTTCTTCAAGGAGGCGTTAATCCTGAGTTCTGATAAATGCACCAGTGTACGATTACTAGGATGACAGGATCCTCAAGTCAAAGATTTTTAGTACTTTTATTTTTTTTATAATTATTTTTAATTATTCATTATTATTGTTAATAATTATTTTAACCCTCTTTGCAATATGCAAAAGAAGATAGTATCTTTCTTCAGTCCTGGCCAGTCTTCTTCGTCAAAACGACCAAGAGCCGAGGATGAAAGTCATATATCTTCTAGCAGCAACTCCGAATCAGAGACTGATGATGACAATGCTACTTGTAGATCTAGTGTATCTACTGCTGCAGCTAGTCAGGCGGGGCCTGCCTCTCGCGGAAAAAAGGAGAGTCAGGTTCAGTACGGTAGGGGCAAGCCTGAAATGCGGATCCATGCGGATCAAATGCGGATCGGGCTGAACATAGATACTATGGTTGTCCCTAAAAAGCGGACCGGACCGGACCAACGGACCCGAAAAGACTAATTTACGGACCGAGCGACGGACCCGATACAAACTAATTTATTGACCCGACCAAGGGACCCGAAAAGACTAAAGTACGGACTCCGCGTTAATGATCACGGACCTGACCGACCTAGAGCATAGATATCTATGCTAGCATCAGTATTTATGATGCTAGCAAACTCCATGATGGCCTAGACTACATACAGAACTTAAGTGAAAAATATAATTTTTATTTATGGAGATAGATCTACTATCAGTTGAGTAATAATACAATGCAGTGAGGCCGTAGTTTATTGATAAAGTCTGTAATATCAACTTGAATTAATTTTACACTTGTTTAAAACTAATAATAATATTATATCTAGTAGACTATAATAATCAATTGTTATATTCATGCATCAGCAATTTATGTATTAATTAATTTATTTAAACTTGACAGTGACCGGCAATGAGAATAGAGTTAAGAGGCTAGATAAAAAGAAACACCAAAGGCCTGACCAAGGAAACATGGCCAGCCAGAAAGAAAAAGAAAAAAGATGAGAAAAGATAGAAAAAGAAACAAAAAAACTAATAAGAAAAAGTAAAAATACAATCAAAATTAAAACGGTAGTAATGATGATAATAATAATGATACTTAACTGAATCTAATGCAAAATAAATTAACATAAATAATAATAATACTGGAACTGATCCCAAAAGTAGTTTTTGTTAATATTATGTAGTAAAAATTTTAATAATCTTTATAGCAATGATGTTAGTGAGAATAAGCTAGTGAATAATACCAAGCCTCGGAGTAAGCTTAACTACTAAATGGATAAATAAATAATTATTAGCAGAATAAATAGTTAATAAATATACCAGCCTAAACAGAAGTTTACAAAAAATACAGCACAGTGGTATCACTCAGTAGTATAATGTCAGAGGCTGGAGATCTTGAGTGATTAGTATTGACAGTACAGATTATACCAATTAACTGCATGAACACTTGTAATATCTTTTTATTGTGTAGTTCACTTATGCAGTGATAGATATAAGTACCAAAGTTTTTGTGTTATTGTTATTTAAAATTCTGAATAATTATTATGAATTAAAGGTGCATGTAAATTCTTGAATATAATCATACAAATATCTGGGCCATATTTCAGTGGTATTCATCTTTATTGCATGCATACATTTCACATACACTGCATGTTATGTTATCAAGTATAGACTTAAATTTTTAAAGTTATTCATGCATAAAATGATCAACCACAATAATTGTACCAACACATGTGGTCAGTCATTGACAAATTTAAGAAGTTGCAATTATTATTACATATCTAATTTGTAACCGTTTTTCCACTGAATTCAGAACAAGATTTGCTTGCCACATTAAGCTGTACAGTGACACAAATAAGTAAGAGATATTTAAACCATTTGTAGACTAGTCACTGCA